AATTCAAAATATTTAAGCAGTAGAAATATATTAGTAGACCTGGAGGCTACATTTGCAACTAGGCATTCAAGAAATGTAGAATTTGATACACTGGAATACAGTGGAAGAAAATGAGAAAATTAGTAATGCTAAGAATGTCTTTTATGAGGAGTCTGGGTAAAAATACAGGATTATCCTATTTATCACCATCTAGATTCCCTCCTTTCAATAAAACTGTTAGAGAAATATAATATATAGAATTCTATGAGGAAATTTAAAGTACAGTTTGTTCAAAGGCTTGAAATCCTAGTTCATGTCCCAGTTCTGTCATTTTATTTTCTCTCATTGGAGTTTTGGCTTCAATACCAAAAAAAGAATGTTTTTACATGGTGTGGATAAATGAAGACTTCTCTAGGACTGAGACAGGAAATAAGCATTTCTGTCTGGATCTTCAGTCAAGCAAGTGGATATACTGAGTGCACTGCCTAAGAACATTCTCGTAAAGTAAAAGAAATCCAAATTATAAATTTCACATTGAAAGGGAAGGCAGAGTAAACCAGAAAAGTATAAAAATATACAAAAAGAAAATTTTCTTTGGCAATAATGGTTATAAAATTTTTATGTGTAAGTTAACAGGAATGATGGGAATCACAGACGACAGTAGAGGGCGGATATGGAAATCATTTTTGTCTAGGGCAAGGAGCAAAATAAGGACACATTGGCAAATTTATAAATAATTTAATGTGAAGGTGATCCAATAGAATATTTAGAGGTCTGCGGGATGATGAAGAGTACTTCAAAGAGAAGAAACTGGCCCATGTCGCTTTGTTGATGAAAATGGCCCTTTTGGTTACTGCAATAGTAAATACTCTGGGCTGGAGCGATAGCACAGCGGGTAGGGCGTTCGCCTTGCAAGCGGCCAACATGGACGACCCGAGTTCGATTCCTCTGCCCCTCTCCGAGAGCCCAGCAAGCTACCGAGGGTATTCGATATGCCAGACACAGTAACAACAAAGTCTCCAATGGAGACGTTACTGGGCCCGCTCGAGCAAATCGACGATCAACGGGAGGGCCTTTACCTTTACCTGAGATAATTAGAGTGAAAAAATTAAAAGTACAACGAAGAAGACTGTCTATTTTTTTTTAAATTTTTATTAGTGAAACACCATGAGGTACAGTTGTAGATTTACAAATTTTTGTGCTTGGGTTTCGATTATACAATGATCAAATACCCATCCCTCTACCAGTGCCCATTTTCCACCACCATGGATCCCAGTATCCCTCCCACACCCATCCCCCCCATCCCACCCTACCTCTGTGGCAGGGCATTCCCTTTTGTTCTCTCTCTCCTTTTGGGTGTTGTGGTCTGCAAAAGAGGCATTGAGTGGCAATCATGTTCAGTTCATAGTCTACTTTCAACATGCATCTCCCCTCCTAGGAGGATACTCCAAACACCCTTTATTTGGTGCTCCCTTCTCTAGCTGAACTGCCCTTTCCTCTAGGATACCCGGCTGGCCTCTAAGTTATGGAGTAATCCTCCTGGTGCTGATCTCAGCTATTCTTGGGTATTAATCTCATATTTTGTTATTTTATATCCCCCAGATGAATGCAATCTTTCTATGTCTATCCCTCTCTTTCTGACTCATTTCGCTTAGCATGATACTTTCCATGTAGTACCACTTGTATGTAAATTTCATGACTTCATCTTTTCTAACAGCTACATAGTACTCCATTGTGTAGATGTGAAGAAGACTGTCTTGTATAGTAATAGCGTTCTAAGCCCCAAGGTTTCTTGATATTTAGTGCAAAGAGAAATTGGACATGAGGTAGGGAGAGATTCAAGCTTTGTCTACTGTTTGAAAGTGTGCATAAGGAAACCATACAGGACAAATCTTGGCTACATCTCCTTTAAATTCTTCAAGGGGGCAAAGGTTGGGAAGGAGTGGCATTTATAGAGGGGCGAAGGGGATACAAAATATTGCGTACAAGTCTTATAAACTAGAACATGCTTCTTCATGGGATATTGTCACATTAGACTATTAAATTTTCCCCATTGGGCATGCTTTTAGTTATAAAATGAAGTGGAAACGTCCGTGACAGGATGACACTGTAATCCATCTTGGAACAAGCTGGTTCAGTTTGGTTTCTTTTGTTCATTTAAACATTCTCCCTCCGGAGTCCTATGAGATATTTGCTTAGATTTCCTTTTATGGTAATAAGTAAAACAATTGGCTTCATGTTTGCAGCAGAGGCATGAGGTCCCAAACACAGTCCCTGTTCTATCAGAGCATGACGACGTATTCATATTAGTAAGAACTGATGTTCTGCCATAAATATTTGCCAATATATTTTGTCAATTGTTTTCTGAGATAGTAATTAAAATACATTTTGTGGATGATTTAAGACACAAGTAAGGATAAAGGCAAAGGGGCATGATATCAATATTTAGTAAGGTGCTAAATATACAGGATGAGGATGATGGCAAGCATTCTGAGAGCAGAGAGCTTACTGGTCGTGCTGGTTAAACACAGGAGACTTATCTTTCTGAATGTAAAGTAGAATGATTTGTACTTTTATAATTCTGTTTTGAACACAGAAAATACACAGATATAAATTGGAGTTAGAAAAGAAGCACTGAAAGACAGCCTGTACATGACGAAGAAAATGTATTTCTGAATTACAATAATTGCATAAAAGGAAATATAAGAAAAAAAAATCTGTAATCTGAAAGTGGAGAGAAGTAGAAGATAAATGAGGATAAGAAAAACATATATAGGAAACAGAGAACTTAAAGATATTTATATTATTATATTAATATAAAAATAATTTATATTATTATATTATTATATTTATATTAGAGTTTTATGCCTAGTAAAGTAAAATGTGTGGCTATTTATAAAAATAGAGCACCGGCAGGAAAAATGGGAGATATAAAAGTTACAGTAATTTATTAGCAATAAATAAATCAGTTTATTAACATTTTAAATTAATTTTAACATGGGATATTTTACACTATGTAAGTGAGCCTACATTAGTAAAATGGTAAAGGTAGAATATCTGTATCATCACTTTAAAACAATTTTGGTTAGTAAATATGAGGAGAGAGAAAGAAAAACAGAGAGACAGAGGCAGAGAGAAAAACTCCATAAAGTAAAGGAAGAATCACAGTGCTGATCTGACATGTAGGTAGCACCAGAAAGAAATGGAACTATATTATCATGTTTTTGAAGAAAAAGAGTATAAAGGTGAGTTGGTAAAAGAAGAGGCAAAGACAAAAAGTGGTTTAAAACCTCTTTAAAAGAGGTTGTAAATGAGTGGACTTGAAAGAGGGAGGAGAGGGTTGACATGGAAGATACTAAAATATTCACTATGTCAGATAGAATACTACACCCAGATATACTACTATATTTAGTATATTACACCTAGATATTCAAGGTATATATTTATCCTTCTCTTTATATATAAATATATATGAATGTATCTAGCATATATCAGTATATACTGATATATAGGCATATGTGTATATTGTATATTTATATTTTATAATGCATACATTATATATAATGTATATGTAATATGTATATATCCAAGTACATCTATATCTTTCTATCTATCTCTATCTGTATATTGCATGGCAATATGATGAAGGATGTAGATTCTTTACCTTGGTTCAAGAGAATCTCAAGTCACAGTATCTGAGAAAGAAAACCCCCAAACCCGCAAGACCAACTGTACTTAACATTAAGTTCTTTTTTAGTTCTTATGATTGAATTTTATGCCAATAATTTTCAATTTTCTATTTACTAAAAATAAAAGGATGAACGTCTAAGATCTCAATTGTTTCTGGCATCAATTAAAAACATTCTCATAACATCCTGCTCTTCTTATTTTTCACTTTCTCGCCTTTTTGCATTGATCACTTCACTTGATCACTTGAAATCCCATTACTCATTGATTTGCTCGAGCGGGTGCCAGTAACATCTCCATTCGCCCCTGTTGTGTGCTAATGTAGCCCAATAGCGTTTGCTTGCTCTAGGAACACAAAGAGCCTCAAATTGTACATTCAGGGTCTTGACGAAAAAGTCTGACCATCTTGTAGGTGGGCGGCCACGCCGTCTTTTGACGTCCCGTGGAATCCAGTCAGTAATGGCTCTAGTCCAGCGGTCATCTTCAAATCACATTACGAGTCCAGCCCATCTGATTTTCGGCGCCTTGGTAAATGAGACAGCATCCCTGATTCTCAATCATGGACGGAGGTTGGAACTCCAGATTCCTTCTCTCGCTTGAGTGAAGCGCGATACTCCACGCATAGCTCTTTCAATTCCTCTTTGGGAGGCCCGAATAGCGTTCTTATCCTGTTTTCATAGGGCCAGGTCTCTGAGGCATATGTTAATGCAGAAAGAATGGTGGAGTTGAAAGATGTGCCCTGAGTCAGAGGTTCTTTGTCCTCTTAGCAATTTCTTCAGTGCTTGAAGGAGTTCCATGCCGCTCTCTTCCTCCTGCGCAACTCAGGTGCCAGGTTGTTCGTCATGTTGAGTTCTCAACTTATGTACACATAACTGCTGCATTCAGAGATGCTCGTTTCACTGACAGCAAATGGAATGTTAGAAACGAGTCCGTTTCTCATAAACATTGTCTTCATGAGATTCAGCTGCACTCTGACCGTTTGGGCATTATGGCTTGCAATAGAGGTACTGAGAAGTTATCATGTTTGGTCCTTTACCTACTTTAAGTACGCAGGCAAGCTGGGCATCGAGTGGCGTGGTGGGAAGAATATTTGGAACATTGGTGATGGAAATGTACACTGGTGAATGGATGGTGATGGAATATTGTATGACTATAACATGATCACGAAAAGTCTTATAACTCTGTATCTCATGGTAATTCTATAAAAAATAACATAACATAAAATAAATATCCTGCTTTAGTGCTCAGTGCTGGTGTTTTTTGTTTGTTTGTTGTTGGTTATTCTTATACTTCTAAATCCCACATACACCTCCATAGCACTTGTTGCTACTTACTGTAACACTGTTTTCCATCAGCTCCAAGCTCAAAGCCAGGGTGGCAGGTACAAGTGAAAGAGCCATTGGTGTTGACACAATTATGGCTACAGTGAGCAAGTCCTTCTGCACACTCGTTTATGTCTGTAGAAAGAAAGGAGTTACTTGGAGAACAGACTGAGGCTTATTTGTAAAATATAAAAGTTACTTAAAGTAGTCATTGCCCTCCCCTTCAAACCCTGGCATTCTATCTTAACTCTAAACAACAACAGATCCCAATTTGCAAATAACCAATTGTGCTTACACATTAACTCCAGTATTTATGATTCTTTCAAATAATTCTATTAAAAGCTGTTAGTATCTGTAAATTTTGGTAATAAGAAAAGAAAAAAAAGGCTATGCCCTATCTATTCCTTCATAAAGTAGATGTATAGATCATTGTCACTTGTATTTAGGAATTGATGCGTAACCAAAAAATGGCAGCTACTTGATTTAAGGTATATGGTATTTGTGCTTATTACAAAGAAAAACAGGTTTGGGGCTTTGATATTTAGCAGTGTATGGTGCTTATTGTATCTACAGTTGTCACAGGGAGTTCCATTTAAATACTGGTTTCCTCTCTCTTCTTGCTAACTTCAAACAGAAAATTCTATTCAATTTCACTTTGTTTTGTTACCCAGGTAGTCCTTCCTTGTCTCTCCTTTATATTCATACTTTTCCACATCAATTTGCTAACTAGTGCTCGTCCTGGTACTATATTACATGTCATTCACAACTGGACAGTAATGAGAAATACAGAAAATGAGTGGAATTGAAGGAGGGAGGATTAACATGGAAGTTACTAGAACAATCACTATATCAGATGGAATACTACACCTAGATAAACTCCTTTTATGTATTCTGCAAAACCCAGAATAGGAAATAACTTAGAATTTTGTAAAACCCTAAATAGGAAATAACATGGAACATAGCCTTTCTAGGAAGAATTTATCTGATACTTTAATGACACCTGGTTCTGTGTTAGGTGAGAAGTCTGGCTGAGGTTTTGTTAAAAGAGGACCACAGCAAAATAGTTTTCATATCAGAAAGATATGTTAAAAGAATTCACAGAAAATTTTATCTGGTTTTGGCATAACAAAGAAGAACTAATCTATATGCCTAATATTTTAAAATTCTTAAAATATTTTCCTTTTCCATAAAGACATATTTCTATATATTTTCCATTAACCTAAACTACTTTTTACATTACAAAAATATCAGGATAAAATGGAAGGTTGTTGTGATTTCTCAGAAGTTATTAAAACAAAGCCTACCCCAAAGGAATTAACTCATTTATCAATTCTAAAAATGGAGTACTTTTTATCCTTTTAGCATTTTTATCTTGAGTTTATTTCTTTTTCTCTATTTCTAAGAAATAGAAATACATAGCCTTGTATTTACAGAGTTCCTTTCTATTTGCTTTTTGGTTATTTTTCTTAAAGTCTGAGAATACTTATTTACACATATGTATTTTTGAAAGGTTATCCCTAGCTTTTATAGTTTGCAAGAAAAAAAAGAAAAGGCAAAACTCCCTGTACAAGTTTTGAACTTACTTATATGATCCACTTCAGTACGAAAAAAAAAACCCTTAATGCTGATTCTACACCAGGTTATGTTTTATATTGCAAATATTTTTGCTGAGTTTATAATGTTACCCTAAAAATACCTTTAAGAATGATAAATAAGAAACAAAATCTTTTTTCTAAGCAAAATAAAAACATTTTCCTGGATGTTCTATTAAAAATAAATTACTATAAACCTTCAAATAACTCACAGAATAAAACCATTAGCTTCACATTCCTACCTCTGCAGGCCTTTCTATCTTCAGATAGTTGGTACCCTGGGTGACAGGAACACATGGCTACACCATTTTCACTCTGACAGATGTGGGTACATCTATTCCCACTAGAGCAAGGGTCCATCTCTGAAAGAAATTGAACAGTGATAATTTATAATTTATTTATTTTAGGAAGGTATACACAATAGTAGAGTGGGAAAAGGTAATGGATTAACTGAGTTCATTGGTTTCTCACAAACACAAAGCTGGTAGCAATTAAAGAAAGATTTTCCTCACTTTCAGTTGGAGCTAACTCAGCAAAAAGATTGTCTATCTTGTACTCTTATCTACAAAATCTGAACAAATCAAAACATGGATTAAAACCAAAGAAAAATTAATTTAATTTTACTCCAAAATCTTCTGCTGAACAAAATCAGGGTAAACAAGAACACTTCTATAAACCTTTGCATTTTTTTTATCTTTCTTACTCCTTTGATCAGCAGAATCATCTTTTGATAAACCTTTCATCTTTCCTAGGCTCTCTCTACATTTGGATAAATAACCATGCTGTGAAGAGAAGGGAGACTTGAATTCATGGGAGAGTCTTAGCTAGAACCGGATGAGATAAAATAAAGAAATTCAGGCCTCACTGGATTAAGCCAGCTGGCTTTATTCTCCCCTCACTTCATCTTACTATAATAAATCTTACTCAAACTCTCTGGAAGTCTGAAGTAATATGAAGTCACATAATCCATCAGATGTAAGGACTCAACAAATGAGCTTGTTTGTCAAACTGATGAGCAGGAGGTTGCCTGTGATTGATGAGTTATGTGATTCAGGACTGACTATGTGAACACAGCATTGTCTACTTTATAGGTTGCTGGGTTCTACTGAATTTATCTCATGCCTGTCCTTTATAGTACGAATACAAGGAAAAGAAAAGAAAAACATATATAAATATTCACTTAGTTTAAATATGACATACCACAGATATAAATTCTATCATTTAAATGTTTTTAAATGTTTTGTGGTATTTTAATTATAAAACTATAAGGCAAGCATGATAAATAGATATATAGAGAATATATTTTCACAATTATAGATACTATGTATTTTTAAAATTTTTTATATAATTAAATAACTATAATTCACAAAGTTAACATTGGTTAAGTCTTAAATATACATTATTTGACCCCAATCCCATCACCAATAGATGCTCTTTTTAAAACTTTCGTTTATTAGGATGAAGAAGTGCTCTTCTATAAACTTTTTGTATCATAAAAGATGTTAAATTTATCTTATTTTTATTTATTTATTTATTGCTATTTATTCTAGGTTTTAGTTTGTTTGGGGGTCACTCCTCGAATGCTCAGGGTATCATATGAAATTCTGGGAACTAAACCAGGGTTGTCTGAATGCAAGGCGAGTACTAGCCCTTTTCTGAAGACGTTTACTGCCTCTTTGATCCACATATAGGGAAAGTTTTATTTTTATTTTTTCTAACTTTTTAGCTGTGGTTTAAGTGGTGAGGTTACAAGAGTGTTGAATTTTACAGTATTTTACAGTAGAAAGTGACTGTGCAGCTCGACCACTCAAGTGCTCATAATCCTATCCTATGCTATTATCCTATGTCATTCCTAGCAAGAAAGTTTTAAAATTGCTAAATTATTCTCTTTGTTATATATCTAACCAGAATTTCTATTTTTTGAAAGTCACTTTGAAAGTCATATGATTCTAAGAATGTGTTTCCTTCACCTATATCTAATATATTCTTTCATTCTTAGAAATTTGAGTCTGTCATTTTTTCATTTTCAAGGTGAAGTAAACATTTATCAATTTTGATGACATTTTCCCCAAACAGCCTGCTTCTTGTTTGATTTTATTTCTTTTTCTATTATCTATATTGCTAACTTTTATACTAACCTTTATCGTCGCCATTCTTCTATTCTCACCTCCTCTTGTCTCTTTCCCCTGCATTTTGCTCCCTCCCAGTATCTTCTCTCTAAGCAGCAATAGAACTCAAGATACAGATTCAACATGCTACCCCACACATTTCATAAAAGCATATAACTTCCTGGATCATTTTTGTTTTGTTTCGTGTTCTCTGTTTTGTCTCTATGCTTTGTCACAAGTTAAAAGAAATATATTAAATTATATTGTGTTTGTAAAAGAAGTTTAATTTTTAATGTACATTCACTGCCATTAATGAGAAATAGATAGGTAACATCCTTGGACTCTGAAAATTAAGGGTAAATTTCACAAGATTAAATATCACAGTAATTTTTCAGTTATTTTTATATTCTGTTCTTAAAGGTAAAGGTAAAGGTAAAGGTAAAGGTAAAGGTAAAGGCCCTCCCGTTGATCGTCGATTTGCTCGAGCGGGCCCAGTAACGTCTCCATTGGAGACTTTGTTGTTACTGTGTTTGGCATATCGAATACTCTCGGTAGCTTGCCGGGCTCTCCGAGAGGGGCGGAGGAATCGAACTCGGGTCGGCCATGTTGGCCGCTTGTAAGGCAAACGCCCTACCACTGTGCTATTTGACAATTATCTCTGAGCAACCCTTCCCTGAAATTAATCTTTGATTGATCTTAATGTTTTCTTTATGCCCAAGTTTTCTAACTCTAAGGGTTACTCTCTCAGACAGAATTAGATATAAGATTCCTATATAAGACTGTTGCTACTATTTAAAAAATACTTTCTATTTCTAAGACTAATTGCAACTCTGAACTTAACCTATATGAATCGGACATGTAAAAACCATAAAATAAAACCCCTAAATAAAAAATATACATTATATTTTATTGTCAGATATAACAAAGAAGGATATTTCACAGTAATATGTAGGGGAAATAGTACTTTAATAAAAATTTGAATGCATCTCCTGTGTATAGATAACAGTACCTTTCACATAGTAGCACTTAAATGGGGCCTTCCAAATTTAACTATACTTACAAAAGCATAGAAAGGACTAAACTCCCTGTTTATAGAGAACAAATACAGAAGTATACTGAAATGTACTAAACAATTACTTGTAAATATTGGAAAGAAAAATGGTAAAGAATGAAATCTCGAGTGAAGTAACAAAAATAAACTGTTTAGAGTTCACTGTGATAATTTCTGATAATTAAGAAAGAGAAATCAAAAGTTCAATAACCTACCTAAATTGACTAGACAGAAGATTATTTTGTAGCTGTTGAAGCTTCTAGAATTTGAGGTGATGGGAAAGGGTGGGAAGAGTATTTCTAGATTAATATTTTTATATAACAAAAGAAATTTTCAGAGTTGGAATAATTATCTTCCTGTATCTTTGACTAAGTACTATACATAGATACAGAGAATAATTTTTTTGAATCTAGGCAAAGTACAATGCATGCAAGAAAGAATTAGAACTGTTGAAAACAAAAGGATTATCAAAGCAGACATATACACACACAGAGAAAGAGAGAGATAGAAGGTGGAATCAGTTTTCATGAGGCAAAGTAGACAAATAATGAACACATGGACATCCATTAGACCCTCAGAATGAAGTATGTACTGATTCTTCTTAATAAAGCTTAAAAAAGCTCTTGACAGGATCAAAATCAAATATATTATTAAACTAGAATTACTCTAACAACACTAATAGGCAAAAATACTACCAAAATTAAAACTAATACTTTAAATTAATATTATATCTCAATAAAATTTATATTATTTTAAAATTATAGAATAAAATGCAGCAATACATACACATGCATATACAAATTATACAACATTAATAAATGTGTCTTACTGTTGCATGCAAGACACATATTAAATGTTCAAATGTAAATAAGATTTTTCATCAAGAAAAAAATTATTAAAATGTCACTCAATCATATATTCAATGCAAAAATATATACTGAACATTCAGTGCATATGTATTGTTAAAATAATTTGAATAAATAGAATAATCAGAAATTATGTCAACTTGATAAATATTGTACATAGAATATTTATGTACAAAAAATATGCAACTAGCATTATACATGATGATAAAATACCAAATACTTTCCCCGAAGATTGGGATGAAGGCGAGATTGTTAACTCTCATCCCTCTACTCATCATGGTATTGTTCTTTATAGTGAGGTTGTAGACGAAAGACAACTAAAGGGATTACAGATTGGTAAGAAAGAAATTAAACTACTTATTTGCATGTAACATGATGATCCAACAATTCTAAAGAACTTCTAAAACATTAAAGTGAGTCCAAAATGTTATGGGACACAGATAAATGTATAAATATCAACTAGAGTTGAGTCTGAACATGCTTTTATCTCTTCCCACCAACTAAATAAGAGTTTTTCACGATAGTAAACTCTAGGTTGAAAGTTTTTGTTTTCCAGTTAGTGGTTTGAATATATCATTTATATTATGGTACTTCAATAAAATTTAAAAAAATTAAAAGTCAACTATATATCTATCAAGTAGTACTTCATTATATATATATATATATGCATATATATGATAAGTAGGTATACCATGATGTCTTTAGCCAATGATTTCTTATTAGACAATAGGGGTTGTCTCTAAACCTTATCATTAGCAGTATTAGAAAACATGATGCTTTAAATAAAATTTAAAATAGTCAACTATATTATCTATATTATTAATAAAAATAACAATGAAGCAGAATAAGTGATAGCATTTAAATTAATTTTAAAAAGTGATACCATGACACAGCAACATCTTTAGAGAACTTGTATGCTAAAATCATAAACCACTGATAAAAATTTCCAAATAAATGATAAAATAGAAAGTGTTTATAGATTAGAAAACACAAAGTAACAAATATTTCCATGACACCAAAATTTAATATTAAATACAAGACTGATGTCATTTTAATCAAAATACAAGAATTTTAATCTGAGGAGGGACTCTGCAATGAACCCCAGAAGATAGCAGCTCATCGGAGATTTCTCTGGACCCCTGGAAAGCTGATTTCACCAGGGCACCTCAGATAAAGCAGGTTTTCTCTCTCTGGTTACTCCAAATCAACCCCCACTGGCCACAAATTTCCAGAAGAAAAAGTCAGGTATGTGGAACCAGGGACTGAAGATTCCAGGCCACATGGCAGTGGAGATGGGCCACATCTTCCAGTCGTCACCCTGCCCCTTCGGGGTCCAG